TTGTCTGAGAAGTTGAGAAGAATTTTTACCAAAAAGCTGAGAAGCCTAAAGTTTTACTTGAATGCGTAGCTGACGCCTCTTTATTCGAAAACAATTTTGTCCCCTCCCCAAATTCTCGCGGGTCGCCACTGTCGCGCAAGACTCGTAAATATGCGGAGAGAATATAAAACAAAAAAGGGGGTGGTCAGTTGAAGGAAATAATAGAAATGTATCTAAGATGTTAGATTATTGAAGTAAATAGTTTTTCACACAACCGGTTTCGGGGCTAAGAACTAGACCGGGTATGTGACTTCCTTAAAGATCTTCTAGCATGGTTTTATCAAGATGCAATGGCAACTCGAGAGGAGTACGGTCACGGGAATTCATGCCTAGGGTTATGAATGTGCAAAAAAGGCAACTTGAAATTTTTTTAATCTTTTCTCTAAAAATTTCTGGGACCGCCCTAATTTAGAAATAGAAAATTTTTACTTACATACTGCCCAACAAAACTAGTCTCATCATCACATGGGAATTACATGCCTTTTGATTCAACCAGATTGTCGGCTGGAAGGCGGGGCTTTGTGACCTAATTAAAGCCGCTCACGCCCGCGACGTAGTCGGCGTCTCTCTCGCACTCGTGCTCTCCGATCACCATCTATCCTTGACTAGGTCACGAACCCCGCCTTCCAGCCGCCAATCCAGTTGAAGCAAAGGGTACTTACTAATACTAATACTTACTTAGATACTTAGATGGCCCGGCTTCACGTGACGTGCGGGCCCCAGCTCAGAAGTTTCCATTTTTCCCTGTCCCTCGCTTCTGACATCCACGATCTTCTTGGCTGACGTCGGTGGCTGCGTCCACGAGTTCCAGGTGCAAAAATCGTATCCAGCTGATTTCTCAGCTGGTCCATCCGTTCCACGAACACGTCTGCCCATCTCGTTGGAGGTCTTCCTCGGGGACGTTTGGCTTCGCGAGGAATCCACTCCGATGTTCTTAGTGTCCATCTGTCGTCTGTTCTTCTCATTATGTGACCGGCCCATCGGTGTTTGGCTTTCGCGACGTATTCCGCTGGGTCACGAAGACGGGACATTCTTCTCATATCCGTGCTGCGAAGTCCGACTAGATGTTGCTTGCGTCGGGTCATCTTCAGAAGACTGCGCTCGAGCGCTCTGTGGGTGGTCCGTAGAGCTTTCGACGTGGCTACAGTGTCGGCCCAAGTCTCAGCTGCGTAACAGAGCGCCGGGAGAACGGTTGAGTCGAACAGGTGGGCACGAAGCTCCGGGTCCGTCAGTTGGTCGGTGGCTTCCTTCAGGGGCCCGAAGGCGGCCCAGGCTGCTCTTCTCCTCCCCGTTTTGAGTTCTTCCCTCAAGTCGTTCTCCATGTTCATCGAACGTCCGAGATACACGTAGGAAGACGTCTCCATAATCGGGGTGCCTTCCAATTCCATTTCTGCATCTTCGCAAAGGGCGTTCTTCATGAACTGAGTCTTCTTCCGATTTATTCGCAGTCCGATCTTCTTCCCTACTTCGTTTAGTTCCTTCAGCATCGTCTCTGCTTCGGTGATACTGCTCGAGAAGAGAACGATGTCGTCCGCAAAACGAAGGTTGGACAGGAATCTCCCATCAACTCGTATGCCTCTCTCGTCCCAGTCCAGTGACTTCATCACCCACTGCAAGGCCGCGGTGAACAGCTTCGGCGAGATTGTGTCGCCTTGTCGGACCCCCTTCCCGATTGGTATGGTCAGGGGGCGATAGAATAGCTGCATCGTCGTTGTACAGTCCTTGTAGCAGTCGGCTAACGTCCTCACGTAAGCTGGGTCCACTCCTTGATCGACTAGCGCAGACAGGATGGCGTTGGTTTCGACGCTGTCGAAGGCTTTCTCGTAGTCGACAAAGGTTAGGACGAGAGGCAGTCGGTACTCCCGGCAGACTTCTATGACCCTCGAAACGGTCTGGATGTGGTCCATGCAGCTGAATCCTTTGCGAAATCCAGCTTGTTCTTGGGGTTGGGCTTCATCCAGTGTCCTTGATATGCGAGCGAGGATAATCTTCGTGAAAAGCTTGTACAGCACACTCAGCAAGCATATTGGACGATAGTTCCGAAGATCCTCCCGTTCACCCTTCTTGAAGAGAAGGACGGTTCTTGACGTTCTCCACTGGTCGGGAATCTTCTCCTTCTGAAGGTAAGATGTCAAATGCGACGCTAGAATCTCGTGTAGACGGTGTCCTCCGGCTCGCAGAAGTTCGACGGAAAGATGATCTGGTCCTGGAGCCGTGGACGTCTTCATGGTCTGTATCGCGATACGCACTTCAGCAGGTAGAATTCGTGGTGGTACTTCTCCAGTGGGAACAACGGGCATCTGCACGGGTGTTGATGAGCGGAAGAGGTTGGTGTAGAAGTTCTTCGCGATAGATTCCATCTTGTATCGGGAAGAAGTCGGAGTCCCGTCTTCGTTCAGTAGTGCAGCCAGCGGTACGTGATATTCGCAGAGGTCCCTTCGGCACTTCTTAAGACTTCGTCTTCTTTCTGCTGCTTCCAGTATCTTGGCTTGCCTGTACTTCCTGAGATCCTCTTGCAAAGCTGTTCTGCAACTGGTGTTGGCAATCAGTCGCTCGAGATGAGTTGCATTCGGATCCTGCCTCAATGATCTTCTTCTTTCGAGCAATTCCTTGGTGGTCTTCGAGATGCGGTCCAAGTTCTTCTCAGAAGTCACTGAGGCGCATTCTCCGCAGGCTCGCAATCCTTTCAGAAGCCGGTCGTAGTCGTACGTTGGGTCCTCCTCGATGGGCCAGTCACAACTTGATATGAGCTCTTCCAGCCTGTTACCGTCATAAACGACTTCCTTCCTTCTCGCGGCACTATGACAGACTTTCTTTTCCAGCCTTCGGCTGAGTCGTATCTTCGCTCGAAGGAGGCGGTGATCGGAGCCACTACAGAAGGATGGAACTACAGAGACATCGAGTAAGCTCCACCTTCGGTTGGTGAGAATGTGGTCGATCTCCGCGTGGGTCGTTCCGTTGGGCGATTCCCATGTCCACCATCGATGTTCCTTTTTCATAAAGATGGAATTTCCATGGAAAAGTCGTGCGGCGGAGAGAAGCCCAACAAGACGGTTGCCGTTTTCGTTCCGGAGCCCATATCCAAACTTCCCGATCCTATATTCCCTTTCCAGTGGCATCCCGATTTTCGCGTTGAAGTCGCCCACAACAAACTTGTAAAAGGACTTCTCGTTGCGGACGACCTCCTCCACATCTTCGTAGAAAGCATCTAGTTCTGATTCGTCAGCTGCTGATGTTGGAGAATAGCAGTTGATGATGCTGATGGTCTTCTGATGTGGAGGTCGTAGTCGTAGGATGCCTAGTCGAGGTGATAGGATCTCGTGCGAATCGACAAGATGGACGATAGATGGGTGGACGACAAAGCCGACGCCTCCCACGTTTCGTGATGGAACCTTTTCACCACGAATGATGAGGGTCCCATCACTCATCTGTCGCACGTCCTTCTTCCTGGACTTCGTTTCCTGCAGAGCAATGATGTGGTAGTTGATGTGCTCTGCAGCGTCGAGAAGAGCGTGGAGGTCGGCGTTTGTGGAGACTGTCCTGGCGTTGTAAGTGCAGAGCATGAGGCAGTCTCCATGGCGTGTCGTCCGGGCAGACGTGTCGTTTTTGTCCAATCCGAAAGGCGCCCTGAGTACCCTGACATCGTTCTTGCTACCACCCGGCGCCGTAGGCGGGATCCGATGTACAGGGTTTTTTCTAAATCTTCTTGCTGTCTGAGTAATAAAATTTGTTCCCCTACAAGAGGTGGCTTACTAGGCCTACTCTTGATTTCCACGGGGTGATCGCTGACCCCGGGCTTGGAGCGGGGAGGAACCGCCTAGCGACCAGAAGAAGCCAGACGGCGGAGAATCTGGCGCGTAATAACTAATACTAATAGGTTATTCAAAGGTGTCTGGAAGATTGGCGAAGCCGCAATAATGCTATAGGGGCCTGCAGGATCGCGAGAGTCGGACGTGCGTACGGATTGCGCTACGCACGTCAGATGTGCGTCCGACGACACAGGTAGGTGCCAGACTTACCCTGTTGAACAGGTTCATTCGGTTCACCACCTTTGCTGTTGGACAGTGTAGTGATTTGACCTATGAACCGAACGAACCGGCTGAAGCGGACAAGTCTGGCACCTGCCTTAGTGAGATCGGACGTGCGCGGCGCAATGGCCGTACGCACGTCCGACTCTCGCGATCCTGCAGGCCCGTATACTATTATGGGACTATAAGCTCAATTCTCACAATACTGTAAAAAAAACGTCTCTACCTCCTCTCTACCACAATATCGATACAAGTCTTAATAACGTGTATGAGGCCTTATCAAGGAAGAATGTACCAATAATGAAAATACGTACTTCTCGTCCTGCTAATTCAACTGTTTTCAAATGTTGAATATCAAATTATGTATGAAAGTTTGGTATGGAAGCAAAGCTGAATGCTATTCTGTGTTTAATTTATGTCCTGACTTTCCTGATTACCCTTTGATTCAACTGGCTTGGCGGCTGAAAGGTGGGGCTTCGTGACTTAATTAAGGCTAGGTAATGATCAGAGAACACATGCGCGAGAGAGACGCAGGTGCGTCGCGGGCGCGAGCGGCCTCAATTAAGTCACAAAACCCCGCCTTCCAACCGCCAAGAGCCAGTTATTTGTATCATTGCGCATTATGTTTGAGTAATGTAATGAAAAAATAAAACAAAATAAAATAAAAATAAAATAACATGTCATGCAACACCCCTCATCTTACTTTGTAAATAAGCGACTCATGCAATGCATGTGAACCAAATCAGCCTCCAAAAGACCAGCTTAACATGAAAAATCAGCGCGTCATTGTTTATGCAATGACTACTCACGAATGAACAAGTATCAACCTGACTGCATGACAAACGTGCAAAAATGATAGGCATCCTATTATTTTCCAATTTATCAAAAGCTACCCCAATTTATTTTGGCCCAATGAGACTGAGGCGGTGGCACAAAGTTGCAATGGCTTCCTTGGTGGTGAGTTGGTCATTTTATAGCCTTTCAAAAGCTAGATGGAGCAGCTCCAAAACCGATACGAGGAGTGTATCTCCTATTTGAGTGATTCTTAGTAGAGGTTACATCTTTACAGCTGACGGAGTTGGTTCAAAGTGTAGATTGAAATGCGTAAGGGGAGGCCGCCTGTGCGCCTCAATCGAGGGGCGGAATAGGTGGGGGGAGGGGGGGGGGGGGGGGAAGGAGCACGTGGATGGCGACACTATTAGGTTGCTGCATAAGTTCTGTCCGATTTTTTTGCCTTATGTTTGAAGCAGCTGTTCTAAGAGAATTTCATCTCTAATGCAGTATTGCTGGTACCATTAAAAAGTGCTTTCCTTGCGCTTTCTAACGCATATCAGATTCCAATAAATTTCTTAGTGTACGGAGAATTCAGGCCTAGAATCTCCAAGTGGCCGAGGTACTTCTCACCCTAGAAGTATGTTCTTGTGAGGAAATCTTCACAATGCGCCCTTCAAGTCAAGTTCTTTCATTGGCTGCGGAATAAGGGTGTAGAAAGCTAGTATATGCAGAAGTTCGGTTCCATGAAGAAAACACCTTGCTAGTAAAAATTATCATCAAACATCAATTTTTTGTATAGATGTTTTACAAGCTATAACTTTCTGCGAATAGAAGTAATCGATAGGCTCAAAGTTGGAGGTGCTAGGGCAAAGGAAGAGCTAGCAGGACCCATCCACCAGTTCCTTTTCGGCGCTCACTTTAGTAGTAAAATTTTCAAATTCGTAAATAGGCATGCACACATGTGCTGAAGCGAGGTCAAAAAGTGGCTATTTTTTTGCTCGGTCAAAAAAATCTCTCGGCAGCGCAGACCCTTTGGCATCTTTTATGTTGCATAATAATCTACGAAAATTTCTCTATCTATCCATTGTTAGATAAGATGTTTATCAAATCTCATAAGGGAGCGTTGCCATGTCAAAAAAGACAGTTTTGAAGGAAAACGCTGTGAAGTTTTTGTATTCTTGCTTATTCATTAACAAGGATTCGCGCCGGTCCCAATATGTGCTTCATAGCCAAGGAACTGCTCAACAAATAGAAACTAAGATCTTGGAAAAAAGTTGACTTTGAAAGAAGTTACGACGTTTCAAACTCAAAAAATTCAAATCGGACAGAACTTATGCAGCAACCTAATAATTGTAAGGCCTCGGGCATATCTCACGCGATTTCACTCGCCACGCGATCTGGCAGTTTGCAAGGTCTTTGGGTGGAGTATGTCGCCAAAGTGGGAGGGTCCCGCGCGGACAATGCAGCAGATACTCAGCCTACGCATGTATAGGGATGTGTATTTGTTGCGGATGTCCGGCAAGACTTTCGGCGACATATAATCCCCTACCCGGTTTCTTTAAATCCAACACTGGCAGATCGCAAATGCATAGTCAGTATAACTCTTGTGAACTGAAATGCCCTACTTTCTAACATTTAGAATGCGTCCACGATGAGTTGTAAACATTTGGAACAATGCTAAATCGCATCGCGACTAAAATCGCGTGAAGTATGTTCGAGGCCTAGTACGCAGGCAACTTGAAACGCCGCCCACTTTCGCACCGCGCCGCGTCATATAGCATTGGGTATGCACAGAGCTTATTAATTACAGAGTCGGGTGGACCAGCGTCGCCGCGCGACCGCCTCGCCTGGATTCCGCACCTCTTTCGGAACATGCTCTCTTATCACTTTTCCACCACGAGCGTGAGAAAGGCAGAGCTCAGTCGCTAATTAAGCGTGCAAAGAAACCGTCCTACCAGAAATTAAAGTCAAGAAAATGCGATCGTCAACCGCAAAATTTTACGGATGCTCTGTAGAAGTCAATAGAACTTTTACTTATTGGCGAAGTAAACGGAGAAAGCAGCCTGTTTGATACGAAGTAGACTCAGTCAGGCTATTACAAAGGTTACTGCTTTCGCAACATACCCCTCCCTTTAGGTTGCATAGGATAGAGGTTTGGTAACCCGTGAGCGATGCATTGCAGAGCTTTCTGCTCTCCGTCATTATTAGGGATCGGTTAGAGTCTGCAAGGTCGACGGTGTTGAGAGTGTTGAATGTGAAAATCATTAGTCTTGCGGTCTTATTTCTTCAAGTGATCTCAGAAGATTAGGAAACACCGATAGGTCAGTCCGCAGTGTAGATTGTCACATAGATGTCAAATTTTTGGATGTTTCACCCAAAAGTTGTCGGGTGCTTTCGCATGCAAAAGATCCTCATACAAGCTTTTTAGAAAGTGAATGACTTGCTTGACATAGGCTACCTCCAATTTATGATCTGAGCTACTAATATCTGATTGGTAGATCCGGCGCTACTGCGATTATATGAGCAGACCTACTCAGCAACCTGCAAGATCGCTTGGGGAAGAATGAATGCAGTTTCAATTAACCTCTGATTCAACTGGTTTGGCTGCTGAAAGGCGGGGCTGTGACCCAATTAAGGCCGCTCGCCGTTACGCAGTCTGCGTCTCTCTCGTGCGCGTGCTCTCCGATCAATATCTAGCCTTAATTAGGTCACGAAGCCCCGCTTTCCATTCGAAGCCAGTTAAATCAAAAGGTACTATTTTCTTGTTTTTCACTCGCCTCTCACTTCGGAATTGACACAGACCCTAAACAACATTCCTTTGCAAAAAATTTTTCTGAGTTGATCTCGAGGGGATCGGGAAATATTTTAATTAGATGAAAGTAGATTATGCATTCAGTCAGTGCCCGAATAAAGGTATCTCAAAAGGTTAGAGATTCCTTACAAGGACGCATTCCCTACTTGCGCTTCTACGCCCTGCTTCTATTACTGATAGAAATCGGAAATCTTTCCAAAGATTGAGAAGTGGTAATCTCAAAGACCAAATTTAGATCTTTGCGCTGGTTTTCTTCGCAGTAAATCAAGGTATAACGAGGCAATTGGAGGAGGAAGAAGAAAGCAAAGGATTGGTCGACTTGTCCACCAAAGAATACGGAGATGAGAGAGGTACAACGAAGCAACTGGAGGAAGAAGAGGAGGACAATGGAAAGAAATTGGTCGACTTGTTCACCAAAAAATACGGAGATGAGAGAATATTGTTAGTAATTTTTTAGTTTTCATTTCCAAATTGATAGCGCACTCGTAATAGGAGAAATGTTTCAATGTATGATAATCTTTTTCTTTATGAATAACCATAATCTTCAATTTTTTATGCACTCCCTGCGTCCAAACTTCATGTGCCACCGTGCCAGCTCTAGGGTGCCAACTCAGCTCTAGGGTCGTGTCAGTCAGATTATCGATCGACTAGCGCCGGCATAGTTGGTACGGTGCTAGGATAGCGCTGAAACGGCTCTGGCACGGGCTGGCGGCAGCTGCGGAAGTAAAATCATGGAACAAAAAAGCATGAGTGAATGTGAAGAGCAGAGATATCAAGAACTGAGAATTTTTTTAGTAAGAGAGATATAGTTCAGAAGTTCAGTTTTGGCTGGGTTTGTATATAATCGCGAAAAAAGTAGTATAACAGCTGAAAAATGTTATTCACAAATAACATGATTGTGGAAAAATTTAGAAAAGCTCATTCGAATTTTTGCAGAGAAAAATCAATATGTCTCATAGATGGTACATGCGTCGACATCGTCGATAGAATTGAAAGCGATGGCAAAAGGTAAGTGCCGTGTTCTAGCTATTCAATGGAGAAGCTACCAAATTGTTGAAGACCTGCAATTGTTCGAGAAATTGGTTACGATTCTATTAGATTGACTTCGTTGTTGCTGAAAACGCCCTTTGGTGAGTCATAAGCAAGTATTACAAATTGATCGGTGACACATTCGTCAAATAGGGAAAGAAAGGAAAGGTCGTATACACTCGAACATTTTTACTTAAATCTAATCTTAACCTGGAAAGAGGAAGGGGAGCGGGAGGGGGCTGAGAGAGGGGATAATAGATATGAAGAGCGAAAGAATATTTCATTCTTACCTGGGTTAGCAGAAAAATGGCTCAAAGAAAAAGGAAAACTGATAGAAACAATATTTAAAATTTGAAAAAGTTGAGTAGAGTAAATATCATTGTTTGCTCATTTATGGCTTCATTTAGATCTCACCGAAGAAAAAATGGACACAGCAGATTGGAGGATAGATAGAAGAACGCCAAGATTCGATACCTATGTTACCACAATGATAGGTGGGTTATTCAGGGTTGTAACCTTGCGCCGATATTGGTGCGAGAGTTTGGTTAAGGGCACTGCCTTTCAAATCTTTGACCTTTGACAATATGATACTTTTTGTACTATTTGAACAAAGAAAATGAAAGCTTCTAGGCTGTGATAAATTCGGCTAAAAAAGTAAATGTTCGTTACGGCTTGTAGCAATTATTTACAAAATTTCTATCCTCGTGTGTCTGTACGAGCAGTAGATTGAAAAACTCAGGTCTCATCTGCGAAATAAACTTCGGAAAAAGTTGGAGTAGATTGATAACTCTGCTGAATACTAGAATAACAAAAAAACTTGTTGTAAAATTACATTTTCATTCTGAGAATGTTAACAAATTAGTGTATACTGCAAAAATGGTCTTTCACTATATCTTTTGTCTAAAAAAATAAGAACGAGTTTCGGACTAGTTTATTTTCTTTTGTTGCGAACTATGCGGTTTCTCAGCTGAAACTTCCATAACTGTAGACGTGAATTTAAAAACTCTATTTTTGTTGATTCTAAGGTGTCCGCAGCAGAATGGCATTCTCGAAGTTGGCTTTCAGAGGAAATGTTTACAAGTGGGGCAATCTCTATGAACCGAAAGGTCTCTGCTTCTGTTCTCTCCTTAGGCCTTGGAGGAGGAAATTTGAATTCTTATCTCCATCATAATTATCGAAACGTAAGTCTTAACAGTCTGTTATCTATGAAAGTTCGGTCACAATTTCCAGTTGAATATAACGGTCGTCGAATATGATCCACAGATGCTGAATATATCAGAGTTTTGGTGCGGTTTGATGCTGGACGAAATGCATAGGGTGATCATAGCGGATGGTACGGAATTTGTGAAGAAGTGTGCTGACCAAGGTAGCTCTGCTTTTTTGACACAATTCGAAACGAAGGCTCAGATGAGCCGAAGTGGGGGTATATTGTTCAAAAAGAATTATTTTAGGTGAGAAATTCGATGTAATTTTCTTGGATGCATGCATCGTGGACCATTCGTCCATGTTCATTTGTCCGGCTCAAAAGTTCGTCGCTGCTAACGTAGCAAATGACTTAGCCAATATACTGAAATCAAACGGTTGGTTTTTTGTCCTTATTTGTGTCTCCAAAAATTGAGAACGGAATGAAGAATGTTTACAAAAAACCTGTACTCTCAAAGTAATTTCCTGTTATTGAAGGAGTGCTCATCGTAAACATTTTGGGAAATCGACTAACATTTAGTGAAGCCCCCAAAGAGGTAACAAATATTAGGTTGTAACAGAATTAATGCAGGTTTTGAATTCCAACCGCAATGAGTCATACACTTCTCATTTCTAAGTAGGTCGCAAAATACCATTCGATAGAGCAAAGCAATCTCTACAAGGTAGCAATCTTGCTTTAGCAACAACTCTGATCCACCACGAGTTTCGAGCCAAAAACTAAAAAGATTCAACTGTCCGAAAAATTGAGAAAACACGTAACTCAGTTCATAAAAAACCTACAAAAATTCTAACTTGCTCACGTAAACGCTGTTCACATAAGACATCTATACACGCCTTTGCCGTATTTTTTTCTCTGTTAGAAATCAAGAAAACGGAAATTTTCGTGCATTTGCCAAAGTGTTGCTGTGCCGTTTCCACATAAGTGGTTGAATACTACAAGACTGTAGAAGTACAAAGGTAAATTTTCAGCTCTCTACAGGCTTTAGTTCTCGAAAAATTTAAATTTTAGCTTGGACCACATGACTAGGGAAAACTGTATTCGATATTTCTTGAGAACTAAAGCTTGTAGAGAGCTGGAAATCTACGTTTATACTTCTACAGGTTTGTTGTATACAACTACTTATGTGGGAACGGCACAGCATCACTTTGGCAAACGCACGAAAGTTTCCGTTTTCTTGATTTCTAACAGAGAAAAAAATACGGCAAAGGCGTGTATAGATGTCTTATGTGAATAGTGTTTACGTGAGCAAGTTAGAATTTTTGTAGGCTTTTTATGAACTGAGTTACGATTTTTCTCAATTTTTCGAACAGTTGAATCTTTTTAGTTTTTGGCTCGAAACTCGTGGTGGATCAGAGTTGTTGCTAAAGCAAGATTGCCACCTTGTAGAGATTGCTTTGCTCTATCGAATGGTATTTTGCGACCTACTTAGAAATGAGAAGTGTATGACTTATTGCGGTTGGAATTCAAAACCTGCATTTATTCTGTTACGACCTAATATTATAAGTTTCCAAATCTTTCACTACATTATTTTTTCAGCTGTTACGCATATACAACGCAGCATTTAAACACTGCATTTTCAAGAAATCGTATAGCCCATCCAATTTGGTAAATTTATCTGTTGATAGTTAAGGACCTTTAGCCACTACAGTATTTACCGTAATTGGCTGCTCATAAAAAATGAAACCTCTACTTTTTGCCCTCTTTGCAAAAGCTCAAAATTCGCATATGGATTCATGTAGTCTTGTCTATCAAGAGGAGTTTGCGATTACGGTAGCATACGGTATGTGGAGGCAAAAGGCCCTGGAATTACTGTGCATTGTAGGTCCAAATAACTACCATTTGATTCAAATGACTTGGCTTCGGGAAGGCGGGGCTTCGTGACCTAACTGAAAGGCTAGGTAGTGAGAGAGCACTCGCGCGAGAGAGACGCAGGTGCGCTGCGGGCGCGAGCGGCCTCAATTAGGTCCCAAAGCCCCGCCTTCCCGAAGCAAAGCCAGTTGAATCAAAGGTTATGTATAGCAGCATAATTTAGGTTATGACATGCGCACAATATCCTATAGAGAAAAACTTACGGGAGATGTATGAAGCATTCGCTAACTATTCGAAGTATGGTGCACACGTTAGCGGGGAATGGTCCTTGCCCAAAGGCTAAACCAATGTGCACATTTCTTATGCAGTAGTTCTACGAGTTTAGTATCTTTTTAGTTGTGCAAGTCTATTTATGTGCGAAACTATTGAAGTTTTAGGCCTGAGCAGTAGAATGTACTAGCGTAATAGTGTTAATCTTCTCGCAAGTTGATCGTCAGTGTTTGTGCTCAGATTCGTGTATAAAAGTTTCACATAGTTTTGACTCTAATGAAAGACAAGGCTATAAAACTGTGTAAAAATGCTTACTCAGATCTTACAAGGAAACGATCCCAACTTAAGGTGGCGAATTGGGATAAACCGCATACCATTAGATGCGTCTTGATAAGCAGATTTTAAATCTACCTTCCACATCTGCGACAACGTTATCTGGAAGAAGTTATGAATGGTTTTGTGAAATAACGGGGGTTTTGATGCATAATTTGCCTTGAAATCCAACTTGGAGGTGCACGACCTGCATCATATCGAGTGTACTGATTCCACAGAATGCTCACATTCAAAAGAAACGCAAATAAATGTTTTTGAACACTAAAAAGCAACTAAAGTTCCTTGGTAAAAGCTATGAGCAATAAAAAGTCCAAATTTGACAAATATACAGCGCAATACCCCGAAAATTAGTTGTTCAAAAACACTTATTTATGATTCCTTAGAGTATGAGCATTCCTTGAAATCAGTACACTCAATGTCATGCTAGTCATACGCTCCCAAGTTAAATTTTGAAGCGAATTATGCACCAAAACCCTCGTTACTTCACATTTTTAACCTTTCATAACTTCTTCCAGATAACGTTGTCGCAGATGTGGAAGGTAGAATTGCAATCAGCTCATCAAGACGCATCTAATGATATGCGACTCATTCCAATTCGCCACCTTAAGTTGGGATCGTTCCCTTGTTAGAAGTGTCTTCATGAAGTGATGTGCGGGCTCTTGCACAGAAGATTCAACGTTCTTTGTCAATGGCTTCAGAGATCTATCTCCTGTTGTCGCGCCACGAGATCAAGGGGCGGAAATGATATCCAGCTGATTTTCCAGCTGGTCCATTCGTTCCACGAACAAGTGTGCCCATCTCAGAGGTCTTCCCCGGGGACTTTTCGCTTTGCGAGGGATCCACTCTGATGCTCTTAGGGCCGCATGCACTAACATCGCCGCGGGAAAGGGATCGCAGCTTAGAAGAAAGCTTTATATTTCGAAAATCCAATTACTAGATTTCACGTTGTGTACCTATCCGTAAGTATTCCTACTACCCTTCACTATGAACATGTTGAAGAGGAGCAAGAAGCTGTACAAACCACATTTTCCAGCTTTTGCATGATCCCTGATGATCCCCGGCGCTTTTCTTTAGAGTCATTTTTCTTTCTCCGAAGTTAACGGAAAACCTCCAAAGTTGTGCGTATTATCTAACCCGACAGTGCTAAGCATGTTGCTGATAAGAACAAATGATGTTTTGAAATCATGAAATTTTCGATGATCCATAGGTCGAAATTTGAGGTTTACCGAAAAAATTCGACTTTTCAGAAACTCATTTGTTCTCATCAGCAACATGCTTACCACTGTTGTGTTAGATGTTCAGTACAACTTTGGAAGGTTTTCGTTAACTTCGGAGAAAGAAAAATGACTTTAAAGAAAAGCACCGGGTATCATCAGGGATTATAAAGCTGGAAAATGCGGCTTGTACAGCTTATCGCTCCTGTTCAACATGTTCATAGTGAAAGGTAGTAGGAATACTTGCGGACAGGTAGACAGCGTGAAATCCAGATATCTGGAGCTTCAGGATATGAAGCTTTCTTTTGAGCTGCAATCCCCTCCCCAGCGGGGAGGTTAGTGCACTTAGGGCCGCATGCACTAACATCCCCGCTGGGAGGGGATCGCAGCTTAAAAGAAAGCTTTATATTTCGAAACTCCAGATACCTGGATTTCACGTTGTCTACCTATCCGTAAGTATTCCTACTACCCTTCACTATGAACATGTTCAACAGGAGCGAGAAGCTGCACGAACCGCATTTTCCAGCTTTTGTATGATCGCTGATGATCCCCGGCGCCTTTCTTTAGAGTCATTTTTCTTTCTCCGAAGTTAACGAAAACCTTCCAAAGTTGTACTGAATATCTAATACAACAGTGCTAAGCATGTTGCTGATGAGAACAAATGAGTTTTTGAAAAGTCGAATTTTTCGGTAAACCTCAAATTCCGACCTGTGGATCCTCGAAAATTTCATGTCTTGAAAACATCATTTGTACTTATCAGCCACATGCTTAGCACTGTCGGGTTAAATAATCTGCACGACTTTGGAGGTTTTTCGTTAACTTCGGAGAAAGAAAAATGACTTTAAAGAAAAGCGCCGGGGATCACCAGGGATCATGCAAAAGCTGAAAAATGCAGTTCGTACAGCTTCTCGCTCCTGTTCAACATGTTCATAGTGAAGGGTAGTAGGAATACTTACGGATAGGTACACAACGTGAAATCCAGGTATCTGGAGTTTCGAAATATAAAGCTTTCTTTTAAGCTGCGATCCCCTCCTCGCGGGGATGTTAGTGCATGCGGCCCTTAGTGTCCATATCATCTGTTCTTCTCATGATGTGACTAACCCATCGATGCTTCGCTTTCGCAACGTATCTCGTTGGACCACAAATACGGGACTTTCTTTTCATAGCCGTACTGCGAAGCCCGACAAAATGTTGTTTGTGTCGGCTCTTCAGAAGAACAGAGGAATGAATACCTCAATTAGACACCGTTTACGCAGACTACTGGTCCTACACGATGTACAACAGTAGACCGAAAAGACCAGCAGTCCGCGGAGGCGGTGCTTGAGTGAGGTATTTTTATTTTATCCTCTTCACAAAACTACGTTCAAGCGCACTGTAGGTGGTCCATCAGGCTCTCGATGTGGTTACAATCTCGACCCAAGTCTCAGCTGCGTAACAAAGCACGGATTTGAAAATCCGGGTCCGTCAATAGTGGCTTTCTTCAGAGGCCCAAAAGCGGCTCAGGCTTCTTTTCTTTTCCTGTTAAGTCTTCTTCTCAACTTGTTCTCCATTCATTAAATGTCCAAGATACGTAAGAAGACGTAAGAAGACGTCTCCATAATGGGGAATCTTTTTCCATCTCCTTCGCAGAAAAAACTTTAACTAAGTTTTCTTCCAATTTATTCGCAATTCGATATTATTCCCTACTTCATTCAGTCCTTTCAGCATCGTGTCTGCTTCAGTGATACTTCTCGAAAAGAGAAGGTCGTCCGCAAAATGAAGTTTCGAAAGGAATCTCCGCTCAACTCA